TTGCTTATGGAGGTCTGCTGTTAGCTCTTTCCCTGCCGCCTGCGTCAGTGTCTTCAGGCAGCACATGGTGTGGCATTGAGTGCTGTGAAAGGGTCTCCGCACTGTGAGGACAGGGCCACGCACAGGCGAGTCGCTTGTCATCATGTTTCAGCGGGACAACCTGCTGATGAAATGGCCTGCACACTTCTCTGTTGGTTTTATTTTTGTATTTTCAGTTACTCATCGTTGGGATCACTTTCAGAGCAATTTGATGAACAATATTGTGGTATACAACTTATTAAATGCTTGTGTAACATAATATTAGGCTGCAGATTTCACATAAAAATGTGATTTCTACCTGATACATACTGCCAAGTTGTCTTATATACTGATATAAAATTCTCAGAAGTATTTAAGTATTTAAAAAAACTATTTTTTCAAATAGCACATTTTCAGAGATTGTTGTGTGCCATGGTGTTTACCTTATTAATAAGGGTTAGTTGGAGGTTATTGTTATAAAGTTATAATCGTTAGTAAGAAAGGTTCGCAGTATGACTCCCCTCTCAATACACACTGCACAGCATGCGGCAACCTTAGCGCTCCTGCAGCAAAAACGTGTTGCCCATTGAAGAGTAGAGAACGGTATGGCGGTATATAAAAAGTCACACTGGAATATCCGAATATCCATCAGGTGTGTTGCCCAACACCAATGGGGGAATACTGTGTGTGCACACTCGTCTGTTGCTTCCCTTATAAATCACCTTGAATTCGCTGTATGCCGTTGCCCCTGTGACTCTGTACCTGGGTGTAAACCCCAGCTGGGAGTGGACAACATATTTCAGACCGGGTCCATGTTAAATTAGAACAAGTCTATAAAGCTCACTGCCTGACTGTAACGGCTGCACTGTGCTCACTGCTTTGATATTGGCTGGTGTCCTATTTATCCGCCCTGTCTGATACCTGACAGAATTACACCCTCAGCTCGACGAAGGTTACGCCAAACTGTCCTTGTGAAAATCATTTGCAGTACATTGAGTTGTTGTGGGCGATGCTAAGGTTTCCATTCTCATGATAAACAGGTGAAAGCGCTTCCTCTGTAATTATAATGTCTAAGTAGAATATCGGCTCTGCATCCCAGGAAGGAGATGAGTTGCAACTTTTCCCTGTTTATTTTTTCCCCCCGTTATCAGCGCATGTGAATGAAATCACTGGAAGCCAGTCTTGTCTGTGTGTGAGAGGAAGTTCTCCACCCTGTAGGCTTTTTATTATTCATGCTGTGACACTGCATGTTGTTTTGTTCGCCTCTTCATCGGTGCCGGCAGTTTGAAGCCAATAACGCTCTTTAAATCCTGAACGAGCTGCTGAATGTAATCAAGCTCGCAGCTGTAAGGAAACTTGGAGGGGTTTTAAGTCCTGTGCACATTTTTGAAGAAACATGCACCGATAGAGTATTATTTCATTCAGTTATTTACTTGTAAATATCTACCAGAGCTGCTAACATGACAGGAGAGGAAGAGGAAGAAGGCAATGACAGCAGGATGAAATGAGTTTTAGATTTATAATCCCCCAGCCGTGACCCCCATTTCCTGCATCTTGACGTCCTGGGGAAATGTCATGTCAGACTTGTGTTGGCCAGATGAGATGGACAGGAGAGAGACGCCTCCACACACTTGCACACTGCGCACGCACACACTTACACTTCCCTGTCAGAGTCCCTGCTTATACCAGCATTCGTTTACCTGCATTATTTTTGGTTATTTCAAATATTAATGGTTTGCTTGCCCTCATGTACACACTTCCCCCTGATACCTAAGAATCACATCCTTATTCCTTGCCCATGTGGAGTAATGGTAGACTACAGCTGCTGCTTTTTCTCTGTTTCTGCTGGAAATGTCATCACAGAAAATCTCCATCTGTAGGATACCCAAAGGACGGTTTTTGCTTCCAGGAAGATTAAAGAGGATTATGCAATTGCACGTTATGGAGGAGGTTTTAGGGCCTTGAAGTGTGTGAAGATGATTTCACCGAGGTTGATTTCTGCTGTTTCTAAAATGCTTAATTTCAGCTTTAAGTACTGTACACATTCTCCTGTGCATTTAATTTTAGTGTCAAGTTCTATTCAGTAACAGGAACAGAGTGGGTATATCCAGTTTGTTACACACTGTAGTGCGGAGGATGATGCAAAAACTTCTAGACAATGTAAATCTAAAACTGTCTATTAAGAGAACCATTTTGCAGATGATTTGGGGTTTTCCGAGATGTGTAGGTTCATGTTGATGCATCCGTCTATTGGCGTGGCAACAGCAACAGTTATAGTTGCCCTTCGCTGACCATTCAGTCAGATGACGTGCAGCAGGAGAGTGAAGGAGCATGTTTTCTCTGCCAGTCTGTCAGTGTTGGTCCATCTCGGTGTGTGGGAGTGGCCTTTGACCTGCTGCAGACAAGCGTGTAGCGATGAGGCGGAAAGCCTGCTGAGCCTGCCGCACTCCTATCATTAGCATGGAGAGTCACGCTCCCCCACTGCACCAACCATTGTTTTCCACTGTTTCCGTCCTTGAGAAGAAACATGCTTCATCTTCAACAGGCAACATTTGCTCCTTTTCAATTTAGCAGCTAATGATCGAGGTCAAGGATATTCTGATGCAACACAGATTGATGCATGGCTTATTTTTGCCTTTTTCGGCTGATACCTTAGCCTTTTTTTCCCCTTGTGTACTAGATGGTAAAATTAGTATGTATTTTTCCTGTCAGGGGAGATCTATTCTGGCATTTATTACAGCCCGCTAGCTGAGTGATGGTTGTTTTCTTTGGCACGCTAAGCTGACAGTTCCATTTGGTGGATTTTTTGCTGCAGTTGGTGTTCAGTAGGGGTGACAGAGCAGGCGGAGACCAGCTTTGTGGATCACAGAGAAGGTGATGCACAGGTTACACTGGCAATGAGACGAGCAGCAGGGGTAGCTTAATGGTGGGGTTTGAGATAAATGAAGCTTGTATCAGGTTGTTTCCTTTTTGATCAAAATGTTCAGAGCAGATAAAATGATGCCATTTTTACTGCCACACATATATTGTCATTTTATGTACAAAGCTTTTGTCCAATACACAGTTTCTGTTTAATTTGTAGCTGTGTCTATAATTGTTTGTACTTCAGGCCCATTTTTTTGTTTACATTTGTATGTAATGGCATAATTCCACTGATGTTCAGTTGTGTGTTTTTTATGAAGTCGAGATGGTGAACTGCCAGCTTTGAATGAGCAGAAATCCAGACCCTCTTTTCCAGATAGACCCAGAATGCTATTTTACCACCGAAAAGACTTTCTGCTTTCAGTAGTCTGCAGGGGTTCAGGCTTGGATCGGGTTGAACCAGAATCCACATGACTTTGGGTCAGGTCGTATTTTGAAGGTCCTTCATGCATCTTTTGGATATTTGTGCTCGTAACTGTTCGTACTTCCTCAACATACCTGGGGATCATTACTCATTCTCTATAAAAGGAGGAGGATAAGCTCCGGCCATGGTATTGAGTTTTTGTGCGTGTGTGGTTTTTTTGGGGTGCTGCTATCTTGGTTTATAAGTCAGACTTGCAGCTTTTCTACAATACACCATGCTTTGTTACCAATATTCTTTTATCCTGTCTGCTGTCACCCAGTTGTTTCAGTTATTTTGTTTATGACCTGGAGTAATCAACCTCAGCAGTACTTTGTGTTTTGTGCTTTTAAAAACTGTTAGCGTGCTAAATTGCTATGATTGTGAACATAATAAAATAAATATTATACTTGCTAAACATCAACATGTTAGCATTGTCATTGTGAGCATGTTAGCATGTAGCTAAGGTTGTCAAAAGTATTATTCTTTGATGATTTGTTTCGATACCACATGTTTGATACAATACTATAATCTGATAGTTTTGAAGTACCGAAGCTATAAAAAGAAGACTGATCTGCAATCAGATTTCAACCCAAGGCTGCACGGATGAAAAAATGGGGAAGAAAATCGACTTATCCTCATTATGTGTTCAGTGTGCAGGTTGTTAATTTCATCAAACGGCAAAAAATTATCCTATTTTTAATGCCTGAGACTTTCTTTTCCTTTTGCTGTGGTATATTTTTATAATGGTATTGTATTGAAGTTTAAAATTCTGGTGCCATGACAACCTTATATTTAGCTCAAAGCACTCAAGTTCCATCTTCTTTCAACCTCACTTGAATGAAAACTCAACATGACCGATGTGTAACCCAAAAAGTCACCATTTTTATTTTAAATAACATTTGCCCAACATATTCAGGTTTTTGAGTAAATCATTCTTCATTATTTACTCAGTGTAAAAGCATCAGCAGAGTACAGAGTACAAAGTGCAGAGCTGCACCTACCTTGAGTCTTGTATCCTCACATCTTTTTGTATAAACAAATCTCTACTTAAGGGAGGGCGTCTGGTGAACTACTTCTGTCCTAAAACCTAAATCTGAGTGCACCGATGTTGTTGGCACACGGGGCCTGCATAAAAAAAACTGTGTGCCATTTGTGACAGCAGCCGTCCCAGCCAGCCCCCACAGACCCTCTTTCCTGCCTTGGGGTGACTTGGAGGTGGCTGAGCGGTGCAGGTTCTGCCAGTGTGTGCCTGACTAGAGATGAGACCCAGTTTTCTCTGACACAGCCCAACATCTCCAGAGATTTCATTTTATCCCTTTCATATCTCGCTCTCCATCTGCCTTGCTTGTTTTGTAGCTGAGGCTTAAATCTTGCTGCCTCGTAACCGAGCTGAGAGAGCAGTTACAGAAATAATTAAAATAAATATGTTACAATTTAGACTCGCAAAAATGTCTGTCTGTCAAATATATTATCATTATTTATTTATTTATTTTTGAGACATTATTTAAGCAAAGAAGTGCACCATTTTAGCGCATCATACAGCATTTAATGAAATCCTCCTAATACGTTGCTTAATTGAATGTATTCTCTCCTGTTATATTGACTTCCAATAACCAATTACTGACCTGTTGTTTGTTGTTGTTTTGTTGCGCTGCAGAGGGAGATGAAGGAGCAGCTGGCCACCCTGCAGGACAGTGAGAAGGGACACACTGAGGCCCTGCAGCTCCTGCAAAGACAACTTACTGAGACCAAGGTACTGTAACATTTTTGATTTAAAAAAAAAAAAAAAGCTAAAATATCTAGTTTATGAAAAAGAAAACTAATGAATCACACTCACAACTTCCCAGAGGTGAAGTGATGCTTTATCCCACCATAAGTAGTGTCAGTCAGTTTGCAATGATGAAAAGCAGCCAATCTTTACATTTGAGGAGCTGCACCCAGGGATTATTTGGCATTTTTTACTGGATAAACATCTTACAAATTGATCAATTAATTAACTAATTGTTTCAGCTCTCAGGTCTAGGGCTGGCACACTTATCAGCAACAGTTTTGATAATTATCAGGCTTCAAGCAAAAATCACAAATATTCCCAAGTTCCAGCTTCTTAATTGTGAACATGTGCTTTTGTCTCAGTTGATAGTAAACTGAATGTTTGGTGGAGCTGCATCTAACGATTATTTTCAAGTAATCGATTAATCTGTTGATTTTCTTTTTTTTCTTAATTAAGCATTTAGTCTATAGAAAGTCAGGAAATCAACATGAGATTATGCCCAAAGGGAGATGTTCAGATGTCATGTTTTGTCTGATGAACAGTTCAAAAATACTCCTTTTACTATCTTCACAATTTAAAAAACAGAACCAGTTCATTTTTTTGTATTTTAGCTCTAAGAACCTTAAAAGACAAATCAATTTTAAAACAAATACTACTACTACTACTACTACTACTACTACTGCTGCTGGGTCTGTTTTCAATAGACTAATCACTTAATCAACTAATGGTTTTAGCTCTAATCTTAGGGTTTTGGTCTGTTTGTTGGACAAAACAAGGCTGAAAGTGTGATGACCACTATTCATTGATTTTCTGACATTTTACAGACAGTTCATTTAGAAACTAGAAAATAATTGTTAGAATTCCTATTTTGATTTGAGAGGTCCTTGTTTGCATCTTAAGCAGTCAAATGAAAACCGTATGATTCACTTAGTCAAATAAGAAAAAAATGTCAGGAAAATAAAGGACAGGTGTGTTTAACGTATGCAGTCTTTTAGTCACTGATTATCCTTCTTTTCTTCCAAACTGATTTAGATTGACGGGTAAATTCCGACAGGTAAATTGGTTTATTGAGCAGCTGTTTACTCTGACACCTTGTTTTAATCAACGAACCATGAGCATCCGCTCGATATGTCAGTCCTGCAACCCCCTCACCACGCACGCACCCACACCCACACACACACACACACACACACACACAAACACACGCCTCTTCTCTCTCCTGTAGTGACACTGAAGCTATTGACCAGGAAAAAGGTTTCTGGCAGAGACGATGTCGCAGCCGTCAGCGTTATTTGTCATTTAGGGAGCGCGGTCCCCTTTTCTCCTGTTTTTGTACCTGCTGTCCGATGTCACAGCATCACTCATCTTTCTTTCTGACTTCTGCACTGCAGGGCCCTCCACTGCCAGACAGAGCCAGGCCCCTGTCCGTTTCAGTCTGTCCATCGACTCACTCTGACTGCTAGATGCAGGCCTTTCAGCCGCCCCCACTTCTCTTTGGAAATTAGCTGATCTCATTAGATTTACATCCATTTGCACAGAGTGCTCTGGAAGAGAGCCACGCTGTGACTTCATTGATCTCTGATGCATTTAAGTAGCTGACAATGAAATGTCTCCCTGCATTTCTTTATCTTGCTAAATTTGAAGTTATTTTTCTTCTTCGTTTTTTAGGTTATTGTTGTTTAAATAGTAGTGCACTCATTTAGCATTGCAAAAAACAAATCAAAGTCAATATAGAAGAACCAGAGATGTCGTCTTTTTTATTCCGTGCATTCTTGTTCCTTGTCAAAACAAGGTACCTACATTACCCACAATGCAACTCCACTGTTGACAGTTTGTCAGAGATTCGGGTGTGATATGCTAATAGTGGTTAATGTAGTCTCGAGCTGCTAGCCTCAAGAAGAGATGAGGAGGGTTACAGAGGTCTGCTATCTGCTTTTCAAACTTGTAGTCTTCAGCTCCAACTGATGCTGACTCAAGTGATGTCACTTGAGGTAGTTTATTAAATTTCACACACAGCTTCCCCTGGAGCCACAAAAGCTTTTTATTAACTTTAACCTTTTTTTTTTTTTTTACATATCCAGTAGTACTCCTCAAGACCTGCAAACAAATCGTTGTTAATGTTAGACTGAGTTCTTGAACTAAGGCTGAGAAAGAATCACTGCAGCAGCCCTGTCTTGTTATAACTGTATGCACCTGCCTTGCACTCCAATTTTAGTCCTTGGCTCGTGTGTGCCTCCGTCTGAAGGATAGACATTGTGTCCTATTCACATGCCCACCGGGGATTCGCTTGATAATCACATGCTTCCCTGAAAGGTAGCCAGCCTCCTGTCTCCAAGGGCTACAGACACCCTCTCTGTGCCATCACAGCCTGCCGGGGCCAAAGCAGCAGACACGTCACTGAGAGACTGATAGGTGGGCTGCTGCAGTCCTCCCCCTCCTCCCAGTCCTCCTCCATACAGTCAGTTTTCAATTCCTAACTAGGTAGGAGGGCAGGGATACAGCCCACCTTAATGTCATAGCTCTCATGCTTGCTTGAAATAGTCATCTGAATAGGTTCCCACAGGCAGAGCGAGAATACCTTCCCCCTGGTTTTTGAAAGAACAGGCCTGCTGTGTAATTAAACCTCAGATCACAGTTCCTAAATCCAGCTCCTCCTGAAAAGATCAGAGGGACTGGTTGGATTTCCCAACAGAGAAAATAAACATTCAGTTTCATCTGAAATTCTTTTTAGATCAATTTAACTGTGAGTCAGTAGTCATTAATTTCCTCTTGTTCTGAGCTGCTCTTTGATGAACAGATGCTTGGATTTATTTAGAATCTGTGTACAAACACGAGTTTACACAAGAAGTTTTTCAGTAAAATGAGGACAGGGTCTGAAAGAGGCCCAGTCTTTGCTTTCCTCAGAAGCTTCAACCTGAAAGGGTCCTGCTCGTCTCATCTCAATTTTTACGGGGTTTCCACATCCAACCCCCTTTGTTCTGTCTCTCTGACACTCAGACCAACACTCAGATGATTCATTCTCTTTGTTGTCCACTTTCCCATTTTTCCTCTTCAGCTACAAATCAGCTCTGTGTGCTGTCCTCCTGCTGATCGATAGCGTCAGCTTCACTGCCCGTCCAACAGTCTCGTAATCAGCCGTCTTCACACACCAGATGCCCTTAGCGACCCCGTCCTCAGTTATTTCTGTTACAGTGTGCTCTTGTTTGTTTCTCCTCACTAAACCAGTGTAAAAGCTACTTTATTGTCTCAGTGGAGTGTTGCACGCACACTGTTCTCAGAGAGCCACTTAAAATCAATACATGTACAAGCTGAATCAATGAATGAATGTTAATGTAATATTAACACAATTTAGAACACTTTTGTAAGCTGTTGAATTACTGACCCGTGTCTAATTAAGAGTCAGGCTGTTGTGAATGAAACTCTCAACAAACCCAGCTTACTACAGTACAAAGTCTATTTCACAGTCCTTTAATGGCAGTTATAAATAGCCCCGGCGGAGGGTAATATGTTTAGTTGTTGGTTTTTTTTCCTTACAGTAAGTAAACCAGCTTTTTCCTCTTCCTTTCAGTCCTCAGCCAAGAGTCTGCGTGCGACCATCGGAGACGCGTTCGAGCGACTTCACCGCTTCCTCCGGGAGCGTCAAAAGAGCATGCTGGAAGAGCTGGAGATGGACACGGCCCGCAAGCTGGCCGACATCGAGCACAAGATCCAGCGCTACAGCCAGCAGCTGCGCGACGTCAAGGAGGGCATCCAGATCCTGCAGGAGCGCCTCAACGAGACAGGACGACACGACTTCCTGGAGGGAGTAGCCGTCACGTCTGAGAGGTGCTTCACCTGCCCCGAGTTTGCTAAAACAGTCCCACTATCATCACTGCAGTCCAATAAGAAAAGAAATGTGGTTGTAAACACATTGGCAAGAAGGATCAGGTTTTTATCAACTCTTAAAGTCTTGAACTGTGACATATTTGCTGTTAAAATTGCATGTATATAATAATACCTCACAACATGCCAATTGTGTGTTCTGCTCTTGCTGAACGTAAGGTTGCTTAAATTTTGGTGAAAGTACAGATTTGAGCAACAGCGTCAGCTAATCCCTGAACAGATGGTGTATTAGGCCAGAAATAAACCAGCTGTTTTGTTTAATCTGGGAGGAGTACTTGAGGACGATTTAATTGAACAGTTTAATATCTTAGAGCAGTTTAATGAGGTTGAATATAAAGCTAGCAAGAGTGACAGACTCAAACATTGTTTTCACAAAATATCGCAGTGTTTTTTAAATTAAAATACTAAAATTATTTTGGAACAAGCTTTATTTGATCTAAACTGGAGTTGGATGATGATGGATGAGAAGAGATTGTAAATGTGGATTAGATGGACGAGCATGTATGATCAATGTTCACTCAGTTAGCAGTCACAAGAGACTTTTCAAAGTACAGAAATGTGCCATTTGTAGAGTTGGATATTGAAAACTGTCAAGAATTGTTTCCTATATGTATATGTACAAGTA